TCTCCATGGTGATGTGTGTGTGTGTGTGGGGGGGTGTCTCTGGGGTGCTGGGAGTGTGTGCTCGGGGTCTCCATGGTGATGTGTGTGTGTGTGTGGGGGGGTGTCTCTGGGGTGCTGGGAGTGTGTGCTCGGGGTCTCCATGGTGATGTGTGTGTGTGTGTGGGGGGGTGTCTCTGGGGTGCTTGGGGGGTGATGGTCTCCATGGTGCTGTGGGGGGGAGCTGGGGGCCTCCGTGATGCTGTGTGGGAGGGCTAGGGGGTCTCCATGGTGATGGGGCGGGACTCGGGGTCTCCACGATATTGACGTGCGGGGGGGGGGGGCGAGGGTTGGTCTCTATGGTGCTGGGCATCCTGAGGGCTTTCTCTTAGGGCTGGGAGGGCCTGGGGGCTCTCTATGGGGCTGGGGATCTGAATAGCGTTGTGAGGGGGTTCCTGTAGGCTCACTGTGGGGGAGGCTGGGGGCGCTCACTGGGGCAGTGGGAGGGTTTGGGCGGCTCTGAGGGGGGGCTCTGTTGCTCGGGGTGGCTGAGGTCTTTCTGTGGGGCTTGGGGGGGTCTCCGTGATGTTAGGAGTGGGTCTGGAGTTCTTCATGGTGCTGGGGCTCTGGGTGGGTAGGTTGGGGGGCTGGGGGCTCTCTATGGGGTGGTGGTGGGGGTCTGGGGGCTCTCTATGGTGCTATGGGGGTGCTGGGGTCTCTCTGTGGGGCTGTGTCTGGGGGTGCTGGGGGGTGTTTGTGCGGCTGTGGGGGGGCTTGGGCCTCTCTATAGGGCTGTTTATGGGGGGTGCTAGGGGTCTCTCTGTGGGGCTGTGTCTGGGGGTGCTCGGGGGGTCTCTGTGGGGCTGTGAGGGGTTCTGGAGGGTCTCTATGGGGCTGTGGGGGGAGGCTGGGGTCTCCGTTGTGCTGCCCGCTGCCTAGCCAGTCCTCCCACACTCGCTCCCTCCCTGAGTGCTGCCTCTGCTGGCTGGAGGTCGGGTGGGCCTGGTGTGTGTGTGTGTGTGTGTGTGCATCACACCCCCTGCCCCCAATTTGGGGGCAGCTGGGGGACTCGCTCTGTCGAATGCCTCACCTCCTCCGGGGCACGGGGAGGGGGGCAGAGCTCTCTGCTAAAAATCCCCCCAGCATGTTGGCACCCCCGGCTGTGTGTGTGTGTGAAAATGTGGTGTCTGCGCCCAATGTAAATGTCGGGGAGGGCTGTGTGTGTCTGCATTATGTGTGCTCAGGGTGTGTGTGTAATTGTGTGTGCACATTGTGTGAATTTGTGTGTGTGTGTGCTGTGAGTGTCTGTGACTATTTTTCTGTTCAGTGTGTGTATTTGTGTTCACATGCAGTTGTGACTATTTTGGGGTTCAGTGTGTGTGTATTTGTGTTCACATGCAGTTGTGGCTATTTTTTGTGTTCAACGTGTGTGTGTGTATTTGTGTTTGCATGCGGTTGTGGCTATTTTTTGTGTGCGGGGTGAGTGCACATGCTGCCTGTGGGGTGCGGTTGTGAGTGTGTGGGAATGTGGGTCCGTGCACGTGTTGTGAGATGTGTGTATACACATGTGTGAGTGACCATGCTGCCCACTGCTGGTGAGTGTGTGTGTGTGTGTGTGCGAGAAGACACCTGCCCAGCGGCAACAGCGACAGCTGATGGGTGCCGGAGAGCAGGAGGCGTAGGGGGGGCTAGTCTCAGCTCATAGTTAGGGGTCCCCGGGGGGGTGCCGGGACCTTGCCCCGGGCGGGTGTTTCATTGCCGGCTGGCAGATGGTGAGTGGGGGCTGTGTGGAAAGAGGAGGGGTGCCACCCGAGCTGGGAGCCGTGTGTGTCGGGGGCCCTGGGTGTGTGTCGTAGACCCAAGTGTGGCTAGCAGGCATATCAGTCGGAAGGGGTGGTAACGAAGGTGCAGGCTGCGTGTGTGTGTGTGTGGTTGTGTGTGCGTGTGGCTGCGGCTGCGTGGAAGGCTGTGGCTGTGTGTGTATATCCGTGTATGTGTGTTGTGGCTGTGTGTGTGTGAGCGGCTGTAGGGACAGCTGTGGCAGTGTGTGTGGACGGTTGTGTGATTGGATGTGGAGGTGTGTGTGGATGGCTGTATGGACAGCTGTGGCTGTGTGTGTGGACGGCTGGCTGTGGCTGTGTGCGGCTGTGTGTGCGGATGGCTGCGGCTGTGTGTGTGGCTGTGTGTGGACGGCTGTGGCTGTGTGTGCGGATGGCTGTGACTGTGTATTTCGATGGCTATCTCTGTGTGTATGGATGGCCGTGGCGGAGTGTGCGGACGGCTGTGTGTGTGGTTGGCTGTGACTGTGTATTTCGATGGCTATCTCTGTGTGTGTGGACGGCTGTGGCTGTGTGTGTGTGGACGGCTGTGGCTGTGTGTGTACATGCGTCTGCATCTCCCCAGTGGTAGCTAACATGCATCCCTGGCCTAAGTAGGCCCTAACCCCGGTGTTGATGCTCCCCGTGGGGGTCCAGGCCCGGTGGTGAGGGGGACGCAAGGGTGGGAATAGTGAGGTGGGTGGCCTGAGATCCCAGATTAGCACCCAATGCCCCAGTCACCTCAGCCAGGAAAACACACCTGCGTGAGTGACCGTGTGTGTGTGTGTTAATTGAAGGAGATGTGTGGGGGTGAATTGATTTGGGGCGAAGGGAATTGGGTGGCAGGAGAGGGAATTGAATTAGGGTGGGGGAGTAAGGCGGAAATGGGAGATAGCTGGATAATTTTGGATGAAGATATGGAGGTACGATCTGGATGTGTCTGGCTCACCGGCGGGCGGGGATCTGGAGGTGGGTTCTGGGGAGGGGTCGACCAGGCGGGCGGGGATCTGGAGGTGCGTTCTGGGGAGGGGTCGCCGGCGGGCGGGGATCTGGAGGTGCGTTCTGGGGAGGGGTCGCCGGCGGGCGGGGATCTGGAGGTGCGTTCTGGGGAGGGGTCGCCGGCGGGCGGGGATCTGGAGGTGGG